CCTTTCCCATGTAGCCCCACGGTACCCAATGGGTGCTTAGGCCTTAGGCCTTCGTGGTAGTTGTAGTATAAAAAAACAAAGTATTAATAGGTAAGTGAGTCTTCCAAGTGGGAGTACATCTCGCAAGAGTCTATTCATTGTTCTATGATTACTAATGTTTTTGGTTTTAAGCAGGACAATCAAATAATCATTTTGGCCAGTCAAGTTGTTGAAATTATTTCTAATTAGTTCACATATTACGACACGTGGTTTTACAACACCTTGAAAACTGATATCAGAATTGTCCATTTTATTTATTAAACGTGAAGAACAATTCCTTGCCAATTCATCACCCGTGTCTCAGTCATATGCAAAAATTGGCAAGCATCTAATAAGGGATAATGCCAACTGGCAAATGAATAATAGTTTAAAAGACTAAATAACACGCTTTTATAGCTAACCGAACTAAAAAGTAGAAAATAATTTTAATTACAAGAGTTTATATTACAGAAGTAGATGGTCGAGCATCAATCATAATTAATGACCTCAAAATAAAATTATTATGAAATTTAAGTTATTAACAGAATAATCAATTCAAAGTAAAAAGCTTGGGGTGCTTGATATATTAAATGTTACAATCTTTCTATTGGCAACTATCTATGAGAGGAGAGCTGGAAAATTTAGTAAAATGCACCCCACGCTTTTTAATCTGAATTGAATTATTCTGCTAATAACTTAAATTTTATTATAATTATGATTGTTTGTTCGATCATCTTCTACTGTAATATAAACTGTTGTAATTAAAAATTATCTCCTACTTTTCATTTTGGTTAGCTATAAAAGCGTGTTCTTTTGTTTTTTAAACTATTTATTTTTCATTTTTTGGTATTTGTTTTTGGTGTTGCTCTGCTGCGGCACAACATGTTTTTATTGCTCGAAAGCAATGGTCAATGGCGCAGTCAAATGAAACACACAGTTTTAAAGAAATTTTAAGCAAATATAGAATCTTAACAGTACCTGCCCTAGCGATTCACGAGTTGGCAGTATATGTATTCCGGAATATGACCAAGTTTACTCTCAACAAAGAAATACACACAGTTGCCACGGGGCAGAGTAATAATATACACTCCAATTTTTCTAAATTTAAATTAGGAAATAAATCGCCAAGTATACTTGTTCCTAAAATCATCCAAAGGAATAGCAAATCAACATCACTCTAAGTATTGTTTGAAAATTTTTTCAATACATAGATTTTTGTATAATGTCTGTGAGTTTATCGGATGCAAATGTTGTTTATTGTCGGGTTTTAATATAGTTTTGTTATGTATCTGTATATGCTCTCTTGACGATTTCTATACAAAGTTTGTATGTCTTAAAAAACATAAATTACTATTATTATTATTATCATTATTATATCCCACACATGTTCGATGGGATTTAAATCCGATGAACACTGCAAACATTAAAGCCTGCTTCTTAAAGAAAGTCCGTAGTACGCAGAGGAATACGGGGACGTGCGCTATCTTGCTGACAAAGGACGTGTGGACGACCCTCTAGATACAGCAGTAAAGTGGTATGTAGGACATCATCAACATAACGTGCAGCAGTTATATTGCTTTGAAAAAATAGAAGGGATGATCGGCTACCATAGATAATAGCCCCCAAACCATTACTCCAACAGTCCTGTGTAAATGCCTCTCAAAATCCTATATCACGCGGTTCTCCACGGCGGCGTCTTACCGTTCTAAGATCATCGAGCGTACCTAGACAGAATCGCGATTCGTCGCTAAAAATGACATTAAGTCATTCTGCCTCCCAATTTTGCCGTTGTTCCAGTTCAAACGTTGACGACAGTGGTCTGCAATCAGAATTAGTTCAAGTTTTAGAGATACGGTAATATATGTGTTCCTTTTGTGACAGTGTTAATATACTGTAATTCACAAGAGTGCACGTGCTACATTTTTATATTCGGCAAGGAAAGATGATGTAATCGGCATGATTGTGTTACGTTATACATACGTGTACATTATATTGTTTTATATTAGCCATTTTTTCCTCAGTTGGCAGACAGCGTTCATGCAAGATGTTTCGAAAGTGTGTAAACAATCCAGATCAGTTTTGTTACGTGTGTGGTGATGTGACTTTTGCGTCTCAGAGACGGTCTATTACTCCACTAATAACAAAGGCATATCAGCTTTATTTCGGTTGTAAACTAGGTGATCAAGACAAACAGTGGGCAACCCACATTTGCTGTAATACATGTGCTTCAAGTCTGAGGAGCTGGTTAAATGGCAAAAAACGGTCTATGCGCTTTGCTGTCTCAGTGGTTTGGAGAGAGCCTACAAATCATATTAATGATTGTTACTTTTGCATGGTACCTTGTGTTGGACAAGCCACAGGTATGTCCAAGAAAGAAAAATCGGTTATCAACTACCCAAACATACCATCTGCGATGAGACCTGTGCCTCACAGTGACGAAAATCCTATTCCAAAACCCCCAGAATCCTACACTTGCGAATCAGAAAACGAATCAGATCATGGCGATCAAGTGATTCGTCAGGAAGAAGATATGCCATCAACGTCAAGAAATCCTGATTTTATACCGAGCACGTCATGCCACCAACCGCACAAAATAACGCAGTCAGAATTAAATGATCTTGTAAGAGATTTAGAACTTCCAAAATGTAAGGCAGAGTTACTTGGATCAAGACTGCAGCAGTGGAACTTGTTAGAAGACGATGTTTCGGTATGTGTTTTTCGTAAACGCCACAAAGACTTAGAACCATTTTTCAATATGGAGAATAACTTACTGGCGGCTTTAAATATAAACTATAACCCAGAAGAATGGAGATTGTTTATAGACAGTTCAACATTGAGTTTAAAGGCAGTGTTATTGCATATTGGAAATATTTTACCATCTCTTCCTGTAGGGTATGCAGTTCACATGAAAGAATCATATGACAATATGAAGTACCTATTGACATGCATAAAATACGATGAGCACCAATGGCATATTTGTGGCGATTTGAAAGTTGTTGCACTTTTACTTGGGCTGCAGCTAGGCTACACAAAGTTTTGCTGTTTTTTGTGTGAATGGGACAGTCGGGCAAAGGCACTTCATTACACCAGACAAAACTGGCCTGTTCGTAAATTCCTAGAGCCAGGACAAAAAAATGTACAGCATATGCCATTAGTAGATTCGAAAAAAAAATTATTACCACCACTGCATATCAAGTTGGGCCTAATGAAAAACTTTGTCAAGGCATTAGATAGAGATGGGTCAGCTTTTCAATACCTGCGTCAGAAATTTCCAAGACTAAGAGAGGCAAAGGTTAAAGAAGGTATTTTTGTTGGGCCACAGATTCGAAATATTTTGAAAGATACACAGTTTGAAAACACTTTAACAGGTATTGAAAAAACTGCTTGGAATGATTTCCGTCTGGTGGTCACTAATTTCTTGGGAAATATAAAAGCTGACAACTATAAAACCCTTGTCAAAAATATGCTGTCATCGTATCAAAAGATGGGCTGTAATATGTCTCTTAAGATACATTTCCTACACTCACACCTGGACTTTTTTCCTGACAATTGCGGAGCCGTAAGTGATGAGCACGGCGAACGTTTTCATCAGGATATTTCAACAATGGAAAAAAGGTACCAGGGAAATTGGAATCCTTCCATGCTTGCATACTACTGTTGGACACTTGGTAGAGATGCTCCAGAAACGATCCATAAAAGAACAGCAAAAAGATTAGCGCATATAGTGATTCTTATAAGTATATGAATCTTGTTACTTTTTTTAATATATCCTTAAAAATAAAAAGTTTTTTTTCTAAACCGCAACTAATTTTTTTATTTCATTGTCATTTTTGGATTCAGCGCCCCAAAATTAACAAAGAAGTGCACTTTTCCCACAAGATACAATTAAAAAACTAAAATTTGTTGTCCAGTGTAATTTGGACGTATTTGAACTCGAAGCATTTTGTTATGCTTAACACTAGTAAATGAAAGGGCAATGACAAAAACTAAAAGATAACATTTTAACAAAGGTATACAAAAACAAAGGTAAAACGTTGACATTGTTGCCACGACATGCGTTAAATATAGTCATTATTTTGCCAAAAAACAAGTTGATGACATTATTTTTTCTGGCTGTAACACTTCAGTCACTGAGTATACTTTAATAGGCCCAGATAGTTAGACTTGATACGCGGTTTTTTACAGTCTTCTTTATTAATGTCTTAAGGTGCTTGTGGTGAAGTTCGCCTACGCCCAATATCACTTTAGGCCTTAAAAATGCATATTTTTACGATAGATTCTGCAACTGTTGGAATATTTCTCTAACTTTAGAAGTTACTCTGTTTGCTGGAGGAAACGTTATGTAATAAGCGCAGGTATTTGTACGGTACAAATGCAAGTTGTACCTCAGATTTAAGTTTGAAATATTTACTTCCGGTTTTGCACCATTGATGTATTTAGCTATAAAAAATATTTTAAGGGTGGATTTCTCCCTACAGGGAACAACTTATCGAAATGCAATTTGACGAAAGCTGTCAAAGTTCTCCTAATATCAGTATACGCGGAGGTACCCAAAAACAACCGGAATAGCATTGCAGTGGGCGGAGCTTGTGTAGTATAGATCATATCTATTGAAATATTGAATAAAAGCGTAAAAAAGTGGTTATCTTATAAATAAAGGTACATTATGGATTTAATATCAGTTCTTTGAGCTTTAAAATTAGATTAACTTGCACAGAGTTGCTAATTTCTATCATCCATCCTAACATACTACAATACTAAACTATAAATTCTTGAACTATAATGATAGTCATATCCACACCATAGAAGCAACATCCAAATTAAGCGAGTAAACGTAGAAATACACTCATTTTCATAACCCTATAAATTTAAATTAGCCCATTTAAGCTTCAGGAGGAAATATAGCCTCCTGTAGTAAGCTCTTAGACTCTGAGACAATTACTTTCCGAGATAATACTAAACACATTAAACTCTTTTTGTACCTCCCATGAGTTGCGCTAACTCTCCTTAGCCAAAATCCTGCAACGTAAACGCAAATATGTTTTGCATCCCCATATTCATGAGCACACACGATCTCGCTGGAACTGCCGGCAAAAACATCCCGGTAACATCTACAGGAAATAAACCAGAAATATTAGTAGTAAGAGGTAAGCTATGATAGAGTCACAGCGTATCTCATACAACGCAGCAGCGCAACAAGTATAGCATCTTTTGCAAATCTTACTTATCCATTAGATCACAGTATGTGTAATATAATGGGTACAATTCTAACACATAAAGTGTAAACTTAGGTATTCCGCAAGGATCAAACTTAGGCCCACTATACCCCATTCGTAGTCAAGACAAGACACAACATGCCCAAAAGCGAGATTGTACAGGTCCGTATTATTCTCAATGGTCCTGGAGTAATCTAACAAAATAAATTTATATATAGAAAGAAGTGCACATACTTTTCACAATTCTTTATTCGCTGGAAGTACCTGAATTATCGTCCGAATGGTTAATATTAATTATTACAGGTTCAATTTGAATATAGATCATATTGTCCAGATCCCACATCTTTATTTCGATTGTCTCTTGAACGTGACGGATACAATCTTTCCAATGGTTTGCCGTCACTTTGTTGACAGCAAAAAAAAATTGAATGTGCTATTGTTTGAAGCCACATATTTTTTATATTTGCAAAATCATTTCAATGGGATTTAATTCGCAGTGGTAAGGGGGTAGCCTTAAAAAGGTCTTATTTTGGTTTTTATCCATTTCGTTAAAATTATATTTATATTTGTGTTGCCTGACTAGATGGATAAGTTCTGCTTTAACCATATTTTCATTGAAACTGATTTCTTTGTATAGGAGCCATTAATGAATTTCTGCCTTTCTAGTAGACATTGTGGGAATTTTTTCTAGTTTTCTAGTGTGGTATACGGCATTATCAAGTACAATGATGGCATTGCCGTCAAGCTTTGGGAGCATGTCTTAACACCATCGTTCAAATGAGCTCTCGTCCATTTATTCATGATAGTCGGTAGTTATCTTTAACTCAAATTGCCCATAGGGCAGTGGGCACAAAGCCATCTTCACTGCCAATGTAACAGATAACAAATTGTTTTCATTTTCCTGGAAATAATATTTCATATAGTATTCAGGAAAAATATTTTCAGTTTCGTCTGCTGTATCCGTAGACGACATGCTAACGTATGAACATCAGCTATGTAGGCACCGAATATGAACAGCAACTGCCGGCGATACCCCGTTATATATTGATGGCCAAATGACCAATAGCTATTGCAATGCTTAGACGGCTGCCGCTTTGCCGCGCTGCATCTTTGTTGTGTCGGGGCGTAAATGGACTACGAATAGGGTATACTATTTAATTTGTTTATTATTGATTTGGATAATGTAACAGAAATGCAAAAATCGTTTTATGATTAAAGTCTATTGTGAACTAACTGCTATAGAAGATTATGGCAGGTTACATGTCATTCTCAACAATGTTGCAAAGTGTGGAGTAGTCACTTTCTCTAGGAAAACGTGATTACAACATTCAGGGTATCTTTTTGGAGCGTCATTTAAGCACTAAAGATCTATCCGTATTACTCGATTCGCAAATCAGTTTCATTAATCGTATTGATGATAAGATTGCTGAAGCATACAAAATGTGTAGATTCATCGTCGATCATTTAATAGTGAAGCAGCATTGAAATGTCTATTTTTTCTTATGTACGTTGTAAACTGGGGTACTGTTCAAATATCTGGAATTTATACTATCAGTGTCACGATGAAAGACTGGATAAACTACATACGAAAAGTGCCACATACTTGTATATCCAGATCAGGGAACTGAATAGAATCGATACTAAACATTTTAGACATTGATAGTTTGGAGCTGGGACAGACACTGCCACGTCTTTCATTCCTGCATAAATTGATGTATGGTGTTATTGATGATCCAGATCTCTTATCGCGTATTAAATTTAATGTACGTCAGACAATCACTAACATTTTGTTCTACTACTACTAGGACAGGACAAATCTAATGTAGCAACATCTTGTGACCTTCAACAACACTGCCTGCAGTACAATGACAGTTTCATGTGGCATCCCACAGGGTTCTGTTCTGGGTCCACTTTTATTCTAAATATACATAAATGACCTTCCTAATTGTAAAACAAACAAAAAATGACACAACAATGCTCTGTAGTAGCAAATCGATTGATTTACTTTACTCTGCGAATATTAAATATATAATAAATTTAGAAAATTGGTTTTTAGCAAATAAACTGGCACTTAATGCTTCAAAGACACAGTTGTTGGTAATAAGTTGTGTCACCATACCGTCAACACCACAGACACAGTAACATTTTTGGACGTCAATATTGATACACATGACTTGAGAGGGACATGTAATCAGTATTCTCAGGGAACTATCCAAGACCATTCAAAACAGGGAATTCCCCTAAAAATATATGTTTAAAAAAATACAACTTTAGTCGATAGCAGCTTTATAAAATAAAAATATTACATGAAATACTTCATATCAGACACTATAACTTTTATCTACATCTTTCTTCTGGAAGGTCTTGAAAGTTAGAGGAGGGGTTAATTTGAAGCCGTACTACCAGCTCTCAAACGTGAAAACTATAAAAATGCTAACAGTCTCCCGATTCGACTACATGTGGTTGAATCAAATGGCTTCCATCGAGTACAACATTGAATGGCAAGTAAATAAAGGACTGACATTAGTCGAAACGCTTAATTGACAATTTTACTACTAAAAAAATTAAAATTAACGGCCGTATAGACCGTTGATTTTAACTTGTTTGTAAACAACGTGGACAGTAAAATTTCGTTCCATTAATCTCGAAATAAAGTTCCATTTAGGTCTCGGTGAACACCACTTCCTCGCAATATCAATGTAAACACACATTTTATACGAGTTCTGCAATTATTCCACCAAAGCTGCTTTAAACTACAATGTACAATTAGAAATACAATAAAATACTATTCGCAATATAACCTCTTCACTAGGAACAAGTTTCAGATATGGCCCGCAGAGGTATTAAGTATCTTGAAAAGTGATATTATGTCGGTTTTTTGTGACATTATGATGTCTACTTGGAACTAGCTGTTGTTTACTTAATGTGCACTCGTTGTGTAGCTGTACGTGTTGCCTAAACGTCATGACGAAACGACACGAACGAAACGAACGAAACGACGAAACGAACGAAACGAACGAAACGAACGAAACGAACGAAACGAACGAAACGAACGAAACGAACGAAACGAACGAAACGAACGAAACGAACGAAACGAACGAAACGAACGAAACGAACGAAACGAACGAAACGAACGAAACGAACGAAACGAACGAAACGAACGAAACGAACGAAACGAACGAAACGAACGAAACGAACGAAACGAACGAAACGAACGAAACGAACGAAACGAACGAAACGAACGAAACGAACGAAACGAACGAAACGAACGAAACGAACGAAACGAACGAAACGAACGAAACGAACGAAACGAACGAAACGAACGAAACGAACGAACGAACGAAACGAACGAAACGAACGAAACGAACGAAACGAACGAAACGAACGAAACGAACGAAACGAACGAAACGAACGAAACGAACGAAACGAACGAAACGAACGAAACGAACGAAACGAACGAAACGAACGAAACGAACGAAACGAACGAAACGAACGAAACGAACGAAACGAACGAAACGAACGAAACGAACGAAACGAACGAAACGAACGAAACGAACGAAACGAACGAAACGAACGAAACGAACGAAACGAACGAAACGAACGAAACGAACGAAACGAACGAAACGAACGAAACGAACGAAACGAACGAAACGAACGAAACGAACGAAACGAACGAAACGAACGAAACGAACGAAACGAACGAAACGAACGAAACGAACGAAACGAACGAAACGAACGAAACGAACGAAACGAACGAAACGAACGAAACGAACGAAACGAACGAACGAACGAAACGAACGAAACGAACGAAACGAACGAAACGAACGAAACGAACGAAACGAACGAAACGAACGAAACGAACGAAACGAACGAAACGAACGAAACGAACGAAACGAACGAAACGAACGAAACGAACGAAACGAACGAAACGAACGAAACGAACGAAACGAACGAAACGAACGAAACGAACGAAACGAACGAAACGAACGAACGAACGAAACGAACGAAACGAACGAAACGAACGAAACGAACGAAACGAACGAAACGAACGAACGAAACGAACGAAACGAACGAAACGAACGAAACAAATAAAGCATAAAATAACAAACTCGGAGACGAAATTACACACATTTGAAGCAATATATACACAGTGGTCTTTAAAATTTAAGCTTGAATCTAGATAGAATTTTACTTGCATGTCAAGGGACATTCTTGAGCCATTAAAAGTGATATTTAATGTCATAGGTTTCTCCTGAATGTTTGAAAGTGATGTTTTTTTTCAGAATTTAAGTAGAGCTGATTGCTGCTAGACCATTTGTTAATATTTTAAACTCTACAAACTCTCTCTAACGTAGCCTCACACTTATTCGATATCACCACTGAAGTACCATCTCCATATAAAATGAATCTACCTTCAGAGGAAGAGCAACAGCAACAACATCATTTATGTATAGAGTGAATAGCACAGGTCCTAGAATAGAGCCCTGAGGGACGCCTGAGGTGGTTTGAGCCATGTCGGACTTAATAGGCGCATTCAGACCACTACCGACGATACTCACAAATTCTATGAAAGACCTCATCCAATGATATGGTGGACAGACAATTTATGCCATGCGTCTATATTACGGACAAGAGGGACCATGGTATGGTGTGATATACTTGTCAAGCACCTTATTATAAAGCCTCACACTCATGGAACCATCATCGCAAATGTCGTCTAAACTAGTATGAGATTGCGCGAACACTCTCAAAGTGCTGGGAAACCGAAACAAGGTAACATTGCTCTGGGTACTAGGACATAAAGGGCACACAGGGAATGAAAAATCGGATGAGTTAGCCCAATAAGAAATGGACTAAGAAAAATGGTGGATCAGCCAATTGGGGCAAATGCAGGC